ACTCACAAATTGGGACATACCAGAACTGAGAGCACTGAAGCAACATTATGTTTATCCCCTTAACACATTTATATGGCCTTTTACCCAACATCCCAAGGAAAACCCCTGGCTAAGGTAAAGCCTCCTGCCTGCGAGATACCACACACATTAAAAATACAGTTCTTTCTCCCCTTGCAGTTGTTTGCATCTGTCACTTGTGCACCTTGTGTCAAACATGCATCATACAAATAAAAGCTGTAACTTTTATAAATTTTATAAATTTAACAAATTGAAGGGCATGAAAGCAGGGCTGTACTTCATAAGAATATGAGGTGAGGAGGCATATATATATGATGAGTGACACAGTAGCACTCACAGGCACATGTAAGGAGGCCTGTATAATTCATCCTTTTCTCACCTCAGGACCATCCCAATGCCAAATTCCAAAATCCTACTACAAAGTGGAGGCATCAGAATGCTTCACTGAAATAGAAGTAAACAGCTGTTTCCCCATGCTTCATATAACCAACTGAACACAGAGACTTGCAACAGAAGGCGTTAAGCAGTGTTACATACAGGGGTAGGTGCCTGTATCTGCCAAAATGCCATTATGCCTATTCATTTATTATAGCTAAGTGCTCTATCTAATGACACATAAGTCAGAGTAGTGAGGCCTTTTAAGATCAAGACATCATTTTAGCTCCACTGGCTGTTGCGGGCTCTGAACAGTTGCTTAATTTCAATATTGACTTTAAAAGTTTTTAGTCTGGCTTATGTGATGTCCAACACAGGGGCCAAGAGGTATCCTGAGTTAAAAGTCAAATGTATAACAATGTAACAGAAACTTTATAAAAATGTTAAAATCAGCATCACTATTCTGGAATGGAAGAAGCAGCTATTTCCGGAATAGTGGTCTTCTGATCCTGCTGCATTGAAGCAATTATCACTTGAGGTAGAAGAATACCGAAAAGCTTTCCCTTCCCTGTTCCACCTTCACTTATCTGCTGCATCACAAAAAGGCAGACACAAAGTACTCCCAATTCTTCTTTCACCAAGAAACAACAATGGTTCTCAAACTGCTTGCATTCCCGCAATAAAAAAGCAAAAATATGGGAGATCTGAATGTCTTTCTTTTTTAACTCTCAAGCATATACACAGACATATCAAAAAAAGCCGTTTCCACCACTAATTGATGTTAAAATTGATGCTAACTGAAAAAGTCTGAGGTTCTTTTTAAGGAAATATTTTCATAAATCTATACTATTGTTTCAGTATGGTTAAAAAACAATTATTCAAAATTAACCACCAGAAGACCTAGCAGTATCCAGTACCTCACCAACATTTTCTGAATTGCTCTTCCCATTTCAGATTTATTTACTTCTCCAGGGATTAAAAACAAACAAACAAACCAACCAACCCTACTTTGCAGGTAGAAGTCTTTGGCTACCTTACAATAACAGAGTAGAAAGATGAACTAATTTCCCCATCAGGCTCAAGAAACATTATGAAATCGTGAGAGGAGGACTGTCCCAAAGAACAGAAGATTACAAGTTAATACACCTAGCAAAAGAAGATGCAATTAGTGCTAACAAGAAACCCTTTTGAAAACAATATAATGAATACCTTCTCGCAGAACCTAATTCTCTTACACAACACAAGCAAAAATTAGAAGCACAACGGAAATGGTTTCATAGCATACTTCAAAGGTAATGGATGGAATACTTAACCCCGTTTCTGGGTAACTAACCAAACAGACTCTAATTTGATGTCACTTCCAGTCCAACATTTTTTCTTTTTTTGACAAAGTGGTTGTAATAAGGAAAACCCAAAGCCAGAAAAACCACACTAAAAAAATAAAAGTACTGGTTTTTAACCTTTGAAAAACCCTGTTAAAGGGGGCTTAAATATCAGATATGCAAGTGATGAAGAATGTTTGTTCTAATGAGCTCTCAAAGTCATTACAAAGACAACGGAGTGCATGCAATTTTTGAGCAACAAAATTTAAAAGGTTTAAACAGCACTACTATGAAGCTGAGGAGTTAATAGTTATGATGTCAGAAATCTTAACATCATCACAGTTAAATCAGAAAGCAACATATATCTGAACAAAGAAGATCTGTTTGGAGTATGTATGTTCTACGCAACAGAGAAGAGGTAAGAGTGAAAACTAAATTGAGATCCAGCACACAAAAATGAGACGCATCACAATGAAATGCATGCAAACAACCTGACTGAATGTCCTCAAAATCTGTGCTGGATTTTTGGCACCAAATGTAAAGGGAATTCACTGTAGTATACATATATTTTAAGATAATAATGTAAACCAGTCTTTGGCATTTGTTCTATCTACTTCAATTAATTTTATGTACCAGGAATGTATTTTTCCCCAAATCATTACTACCATTTTTTAATCAAGCAAGAAATGGAAAAAGTTTTCTAGGGAAATTACTTTTAAGTTGGTAAAGATCATACAAAAGTATTTTTACATATTTTAATAGGGTTAATAGCTTATTCCTTTCTAGTTCTAAATACATTCAAATCAGCAATAAAAGGAGAAGGAGCACTAGCCTGCTCTGCCCAGATTGGTACCAGACAAGAAGAGCAAAAAAGATGGCAAACCTGTAAGGATCAGAGAACTGACCTTTAATTGAATGTTGCAATTTAGTGGTCAAGATACTCAGAGATCTTACATTCCTGAGAAAGAACACATCTGGAAGTAAACTCTCTAAATCTACCTACTCACATCAGATGATGCATTTAAATAAAGATGAGTTTAAAAGCAGTATTCCACATTACCCACCCTAACTGAAAAGCCTATGTTATTTGAAGCAATAATTCAAATGGACAGTTTCTTTCTAAG